CTCTCTCCCTTTCTCCCTCTCTCCCTCTCTCCCTCTCTCCCCCCCTTCCCTCTCCCCCTATTTTCCTCCTCCACTCCACCCCAGGTGAGTAACCGACATCAGACTGAAAGTCCTGCCAGTGTCCCTTTTTCCAGGTACAGATCATTCCACATTTTCGGGTAAGGAGTCCAATGCGTTTTCTGCCTTTGGTCCATTTTATGTTCCTTCAAACTTACCTCAATGTACAAGTTCATTTCAGACTTGAAAGTACCCTTCTCTGATAATAGGATATGGAGATTCAACTATTTTATTTTACAACATCAATAAAAATTACCATAATGGATATAGAAAGGTACCGATTTCAAGGCAATACCCTCTAATAGAGGAAAAGTCTACTCAGGTTAACTGAGTTACCTCAGTCAATTACTGAACCCTTTTGTGCCTTCTTTGTAAATGAGAGGGTTAAGTAGGTAATTTCTATAATCTTTTCCTGCTCTAAAACTTCATGATTTGAAATGGGCAAGGTGTTTCCTATATTAGTAAATTTCAGTTATGATTATTATAGAAACTACGATATATCATCCAACAAGCACATTGTATCCAAATTGTATCGGAATGTATATATTCAGAATGATCTAACGCCCTTCCAGAGCTCTTAGGGAGGTAACTTCAACCTCAGCACATCTGAAGAACTTAAAACCTCATTAGAATTAACAGACCATACCCAATACAAGTGACCATCAAAACCTCATTCATTCTTCAAAGCTCAATTCCAGTGCCAACTACCCCAAGAAGACTTTTCTCACCAACCCCAATCAAAACAATCATCCCTTCCATTATGTTCCCATAGCAATATAGTGGTGGTATCTCTACAATAACCTATTTCATTCTGTCTTTTTCTTGTTCTTTTAAAATAATTGCTTGTCTGCATTCCTCCTCAGATGATAGGATCTTCCTTGAATGCAATTTCCAAATTTTAATCATCTGTGTAACATTTTACTCTGCATCCACAGTACTTAGCTCATTGTAATTCCTTTAAGGGAGGAAGGGGGGGGGTGCATGTGGGTTTAATGATATTGCTGAATTCTGACCAACTAGATTTTTACAGGCTCAGGTTAGGCTACTTGAATTTCTCTAATATAGGGCATCCGTGAACTCTCCTGGGAACTTAAATTAAACATAAATTGACATCTGAAGTCACTTGTTACTTAAATAATTTTGGAAAGAGTAGACTCTAGCCAACTGTAACAAGAGGTTCTTATTTGTAAAAGAGGCAAAATGGAAACCACTAAATTCATCTCCCAAAAGCATATATATATATATATATATATGCTTTTATATATGCATATATATATATATATAGAGAGAGAGAGAGAGAGAGAGAACTATAAAATAATAGAATATACAATGAAAGGTGCTACATAGATATTGAAAGCTATTATTGGTAGCAGAAATATAAACAGTACCTATAGCCTAATTTTTAGAGTCAACCTTATCACAACTTGACAGGTCTGGAAGGGTATGGAAAAAGGATGAAATTCAAAATGGAATTAATATATTTGTCAAAATATGAAACATTAACTGAAAACTAATCATATTAAGTAAATATGAAACATTAACTGAAAAGTAAGCATTTACGTTAAATAAACAATTGAAAAGAACCAAACAGGACCAAAAAATGCAAAAAAATAACTGATGGTTAGAGAAAAGCAGAGAAAAAGTTAATTGGTTGCACGATTTAATCTAATGTTAAGAAAGCAATTTTTACATCAGTTACGTATATTTTAGGCTCAAGCTTCATAGTTTCAAATCATTTTTAATCTGATGAGCATCATGTTCCATATTTAAGATATAAAGTATCCCACTTTATTGCCAGGAAATCCTTGACTCTTGCCAGTATTTTTCTATGGTGAACCTTCCACAAAAATAAAATCAAGTAAATCCTCTGCCCTGTTTGCTATACAACTATATTGAACACCCTCTACTCAGGGACAAGATAGCATAGCATCACAGATGTTAAGAGAAAAGATGCTATTATACGTAGTAACTCTGTGTGCTAGAGTGATTTTTGAAATAAGATGGCACTGTTGGCTTCAGTGACATTAAAATTGAAAAAAAAAAGTCAATATTTACCAAATGGAAAAGAACTCCCCAAAATTAAAAAAGCTGAATACCCAATCAAATAGGTATTGTACACCTGAAACTCATTAAAAAAAAAAGGGTAACCAAACTTAAAATATTTTAATAACTTAAAATGTTCTGACCAAAGGTGTGGACAAGGATTTTGTACAATGATATGCATCTCACTCATAAGTTATGAAAGGTATGCAGATAGTGAGAGTGACTGGTTTTTCATATTCAGTCAAAGCCCTCTTATCTGATTGGAATTGGTAGTGATTCAGTTAAAAAAACAGCTGGTTAAATAAAAAAATATCTTTTTTAAATGATTCATACATTGTATATTAACTAGGACTCATTTTGGCTGCAAGCAACAGAAACACAAAATAATAGCGACCTAAACGAGATAGAAGTTTATTTGTTTTTCAAGTGAAAGCCTCGCATTGGTGATCCAGGGCTGCAATGGCCCTCCAAACCATCAGGAAGTGAAACAGACACCTTTTTTATCTTCTTGCTCAGCCATCTGTGGCCTTTATCCCCAATTCCAGTTCTAGCAATCATGCCTACATCGCAGGAGAAAAGAAGCAGAGAGGGAAGTGAAAGGCATGCTCACACCCAAGGACATTTTCCTAAAGGTGCACAAACCATTTCCCCTTTGATTTCATCCCCAGCAATGGGAAGGTAGTAATAGTTAGCTACAACGTTAAGAGGAAATGTTGAGTCTTCCAGGCAGTCATGTATCCAAAGGAAAATCAGGATTTTTCCATGATTCAGCTCTTCCTCAGCCTATGACAACATTGTGCACCACCCTGGGCTGAGCTTTGCATTCATTAGGTTTCCAGTGACCAAATGAGTGGCTAATGCAAACACTAGACAATGCCATCTTCTCATGAAATGACCTTCTCCTTCAACCAGATGGAAACGTTCACGAGATTTATAAAATGACTGAGCTTTTGCCATCAAGAAAAATACTCTCTAATACCCAATGAAGTATCAGCAGACAGTTACTATCTGAAATGCTCCTGGGCCCTGACACACTGCTAAATCAAGGTAATGGGGATTAACTCACATCTGCAGGGCAGGCAGCAAAGCATAGTTCTCAGATTTCAAGTATGACATGGCATAATTAGAACTCTAAAGGGTCTTGGGTTCACTAGAATAATGACTCAAGTATAGTTTATATAGACTATTAGAATGTATTTGACTGCCGTACGGGATAGCTTAATTCTAAGAATTATCCAGAGATCCTCTCTGGTCCCTGGAATGTACATCAAAGTACCATTTATAAAGATTGTAAAATCTTACCCTTGCTAATTTAGTATCACCTATTGTCTCCTTGCTTCAAGCAATTCAGCCTTATTCTTTTTCATTCCAAAATTGGATCTGTGTATTCTATATTCTTAATGATCTGAAATCTTATCTATAGATCTAGATAAAGTGAATCTAGTTCTAGATATTTTTTAAAACAGCCTCTCCTAATGAAGACTTTTTTCTTCCCAATGGAAGACTCTTTGTTAAACTCTTTATCCTAATTTCTCTAATGTTTGCATACATGCATGCCAGTTCTGGAGGACTGTAAAAGGAACAACAAGGTTCTTCTTTTTTCTGCAACTTTTCCAACCACTTTGT